GCATTGCAAGACAAATATTATCGTTTACCTTTAGTTCATTTACATTCAGTAACTTCTAAACAATTACGTACCTACCTGGAATCGCTTAGTATTCTTGTTTATAATGCGGCATACGCATTTATTTTGTTTATCATAATATTATCCCATCTCATCTTTATTAATTCAATAATGGAGCGCTAAATTTACGGTACACAAAATAAACGGAAAAGTATTTTATTATCATTACCTATTGAATTAATACACAATACACGTCACTTCTAAACATCTAAATGTTACAGATTTTATGATAAAATTTATATTATGCTTCAAGGTCTCATAATGTTTTGATGATAATAATTATGTTAAAGATATAGATTTAGTTTAACCGGTTGTGAAAACTTTGTAGTCTCATTGATTAAATTTCGAATCATTATCAATTTGTTGAGCTAACTTCAAGAGTAGCGTAGATATGGGCATTTAAAGAACATCACAATAACTGTCAAAAATTGGAACGTGTTTTTTTCATTTCATCTTGTAGATTTTGAGGCGTAAATTCTAAAATGTGCACCTTCCTAAGTCAAATTTTTGCCAAAATATTAAACAAAATTCGATTTAACTCTGCCCTTATTAACAATTCATCCATGATTTATTTGCGTACAAATCTTTTACGGATGCGTATTTAAACGTTTCATAGTGCAAATTGTATTTTTTTTAATATCAAACGAACGGTTCTCTCAATGTATAAAGCAGAATCTGCCAAGGCTTCAAAAGATAAAATTTGGTTGGGTCCTGACAGGTAACATGAGTTTTTTGCTCGAATAAAAGGCCCCAAGCGCAACTTGAATATTGTTGACATTTATAAACAATTATTGGAAAAGTTTTGGGGTTTAGAAAAGGTGACAAATGTAAAATATAAGCTGTCGAAAAAAAGATGAAGTGTACGAAAAAGACGTTTTGTATAACCGTAACTCGAACAAACGATGAAAAGTTTCTGGTAAAAATTCCAATCAATGAGAATGCGAAGAAATTGGGAGTCTAGAGGTCAGGCATTAAAATGGTTTATTCTTTGGAAAAATGTTTAGATAAAAATCCAAAATTAAGGAAAATGTAGATAGAGATTATGTAGAATATAAGAATACGGGACATAATAGATCTTAGCGACTAATTTTTACCGAAAATATTTCAAGATATTACAAAAGCAAATTGATAATTTAGGAAATTATATCACTTATGATAGTAATATGATAGTAATTATCGATATTAAAATGCCATTGGGTGTCCCAAAATTCCATGGGATACTTTTGGAACATCTGTAAATTCTCAAAGTTAAACTCTCTTCATATCATAATTCAATAATCTGAAGTAATGCAATTACAGATATGATTGGTTAAAAAAAAATAATTTATAAACTCAATTATTTCTTTCAAATTCAAAACTAATTTTTGTCCCACTACTCTGAAACTATAATCGTTAGAATAATTTTATTACATTCAGAATCATCCAATATTTACACCAACTCAGCACGAACAAAAAGCAGTTATTGTAAAATAATACTTCCGTCACCCAAATTTCATCCCAAAGGATCGCTGTACTCTACACCTACTCAATATACCTACCCGAAAATCCTGAAAAATGGTAAACTATTCAAGAATCTGTCATTCGGCAAATAACCACAAATGGAATACATATGTAATACCCTCACATCCGGAAAAAATCATATCAAAATGTCAATCGGAACGATATTTGTAAATAAAAACTCTCGCTTTTCTCCGAATCCCAGATGGACGCGGAATTTCAATCAATAAAACAGCCGATATATTCAACATGGAAAACCTTTTACTACCAAAATCCATATCAAAAATTATAGAAATAAAAACAGGTTCTTTGTAAATAGTGTGAAAAATTGTTTTCTAACCTAAGAAAAAAAGTTAAGTTTGGTCTTCTTAAAATACTCTATTTTGTTGAAAATTTTACACTACCATTTTTAAGCCAATCAGAGTCTATTTTTTTGTTTGGTTACCATGGTAACCCAAAAAATTTCCAGAAATTTTCATCCTCCAGGGTACCCTGGACGAAATTAATAAGTGGAAATTTTTATGTCAAAATAATGACACTTGTAATGGGCTTGATTCATATAAGGCTAAGGACACACGCGGCTGTTTTCGCCGAGTCGGCCGCCGACTCGGCCGCCACCTCGGCGGATGCTGTAATGTAAATAAATGGAGTTGTTCATACTATACTGCGCTGCGAGAAAGTGACGCTACACCGCCGGCGGCCGACTCGGCGGAAACAGCCGTGTGTGTCTTTAGCCTAAGACTTTTTGTTTCTTTTTGTGCAAATCAAAATTAAACAATTCTACTTCTTTTGGTTTTTTTTTTTAAATTTCCTTATTATTAATTACATCTATTAAATGTTTTTCAAAATCAATTAAAAAATGTTCTTTCTTCAGTGGTGAGTAAGAAAGGACACTCGTATTAACTAAATGTCTATGCTTAAGTAAATAAATATATTTTGAAACAATTCGGTTAAACTTAACTTTACAAATCCAAGAAAACTTGGTAGACACATTGAGTAAATTCTTCTGTATTGTACTAAATAGATTTTCCTCAGGAGTTTGTAAACTGCACTCCAAACTACATTCATCAATGAGGTACGACAAATATTTTAAATTTGTGTGATACACTTTGAGATCACAGAGATGTTCACAATGTTTGCATAATGTATATTTTTTAACTTTTTCCATAGTAATTCGATTTACCAAGATTTTTTAATAATGACGCAAAAACTTTACCAAAAGTTATAGGTTATAATTCTGCACTGTCAGTGAGTTAAACTGTCAGCAAAATAATTGTCTATAATTTTTCCAAAGCCACCTAAGCTGTTATTTGTTTCATGCAGGTATTTGGAAACTGCAATTACAGCTTAGCATATTTTAGGTACAAATTAATTAAAAGAAAACGTTCCACCTACTTTAGAGAACATAACTTAGGTTATAAGTGTAAAGTAAATTTGTTTTAAAAAGTTTTAAAAATTTTATTAAACTAAAATCGGTGGAACATTAATATTTTCGTAGTTTTATTTAGATACTTCATACCAATTATAACACTTGAATAATGAAAGAAAAACAGTGTTACACCTATTTTAGTGAATATAACTTAGGTTATAACTGTAAAATAAATTAATTTTAATAAATTTTACTAATATTATTAAACTAAAATCGGTGGAACATTATTATTTTCACAATTTTATTTAGATACTTTGTAATTACAATTATTATCTTGAATAATGGAAAAAACAATGTTCCCCCAATTTTATTGAACATAACTTATAACTGTAAAATTAATTTGGTTGAATCAATTTTTACTAAATTTATTAAACTAAAATCGGTAGAACATTATTATTTTCACTATTTTAGTTAGATACTTTGTACCTGCAATTATAACACTTGAATTATAAAAAAAATAAGGTCCACCTGTTCTATTATGCAAAACTTTATCTATAATAATAACTTTAAACAAACATTAGTATTATTTATTAGTCTCAATACAAAATTATAATTATTAAAATAATTAATATTACTATTTTTAATTTTTAGCTTATTCTATTTGTTATTATTGGTAATATTGAAAATACAGTTATTATAATTATTTGTTGGGTGATTTGAACCTTTAGAAAACGTGTTGTCTTTAATTTCAACTGATTTGTGAAAAACGGTTATCGACGAGATGTTAAAAATAATCTTTCCGTTTTTATGTTGTTGCCCCTTTTTTCTAATAGCTTTTTGAATAAACGAACGGGGCAAATTTCTGAGTTATTATTGTTTGTAACTAGCCACTTACTATCAGATAATTTTTTAGAACCCCCTTGAGCTGTTTTAGAAAAAACTTATTATATTCTATCCTTCCACTTAAATTACTCTCATTATTAATTTCCTCTGTAAAATACTGGATACAAGCTGATGACCCTTCCCCTCCCCTCCAGGCTAGCTCAAGGGATGCGACATAAAAAAATTTCGTTGAAGACCATCTGGACAATCTTCATCGCAAGTTTCTATAATTTTGTTAAATTCGTCGTTAGATAATGCCAGCGAACTTAATTTTCTTTTTTCAGGATCCCTCTGCAATTTTCTTCGCATTGCATCACGCGCTGCTCTGGCAGATGCAAATTCGGGATCGGTAAATGGGTCAAATTTAATATAATTATTAAAAAACATCTCTTTTAACTGTTTTGTTGTGCTATTCCACATTACTTTTACAACACCCTCCTTATAATCACATGAGCTTTTTTCATCATGTTAAATGCATAGTCTTCTAATATTTGACTCAGTGCTTTAATCGAAACAGATAGACTGTTAATATCATAAGATTTCTCAGAACAAAACTGCAAAAATTGTCTCCACACACTTTCTTTGCTCCTCTTTGTATTTTGTGGCACTAACTTTTCGACTTCTTTTTTAATATTCTCTTGATTTTCATTTCCAAAACGCGACATTTTTACTCACTCGTTATAGATACTACACTGGACCTAATAAACTGACAGCAAATTTTGACGTGGAATAATTTTTGACATACCAACCTAATATAATCAACTAGTTGTAAGTTATTTAACCGCCACTGGTACCTACACATTATCACAAATAAAAAGGTGGGTTACGTCCATAATCATTTTAGAGTGTTTGTTATGTCCCTAAATGTTTTTTTAAATGTTAAAAATTTTGAAAAGCTGTGACTGCACCCGAAGATATAATTTTATTCCGAAACATATGTAGTGCTAAATTAATAAAAATATAATCTACTGATAATGACTAACTAGACCAAAACTAGTCTTTCCTTCTTCATGTCCTTAAATAATCTTAATGTCAAATAAAAATTAATTACTTTTAAATTTTTTAGGTGTGAATTTTTTTTCCGAATCCCCCACGATCTTGAATTAATAACCGGAAACTTTTCTGATAATAATTCAAGCTCAAGGGAGATTACTAGTGAAAATTTAACGTACATGATACGTTAATTTTCTTTTTTACGTCCTGAACCTGGATCACTAATACAATTTAAAAATATAAGCAAACAAAATGAGATTATTATGTTTCTTTTAATAGGCATTATAGTATTCATTAAAGTTTGCTCTAATAAAAATAAAGAACAAGAAGAATTTGTTGCAACCCACGACTGAAAAACTATAAAAAAGGACAAAAAGTTCCTCAAGGTTTGTATTACAGAATAAATCTGGAGAAAGGTTCCACAGAAGCTAAATTAATTGATGATAAGCCAGATTTAAGTAATAATAGAAAGCTGCATTCTAAATCTGAAAAAAATGTACACTCCTGAAGAAATCAAAGAAACTCTCAAAAATATCAAAGATGAAACTAAATATAATGAGAATACCAAATCAAAATTTCGTACTTATGACCAACTAAAGTCGATGCAGACATTATTAAAGATCTTTTGAAGGAACATAAAGATGAATTTGCAAAAGATAGAGTCAACACATATAATGTTCTTAATATTTTTGAGGATTTTAGTTATCTTTCACATCAATTTGATAATGGTTTGGAGTTTGTGAATCAAAATGGATTTAGATAATGTTACTTACATAAAAATTTAAATTTTTCTTTAGATAAAATTAAAGAAAGTAGTCTAAGGTTATTTGGATCCCTTGTACAAAATAAAGCAAGAATTTAAATTCATCCATTAGAAACAGGTAGCATCAATGGTTTATTAAGAATTTTAAGTTCAGATTCTTCCACAGAACTCCTTAAAAATGCAATATTTGCTTTGGGATCTCTACTTAGAAGATTTCCTTGGTCCAACAGCAATTTGTAGAGAATGGAGGGATATTTGTAGTTTTACAGCTTTTTGAAAAATTCTCATTAAAAATACAAGTTAAATTATTAACGCTCATGAGGGATTTGTCTCTAGAAAAGAAACAAGCTTACAAAATGTCAAACCAAATAGTTATGAGCCAATATAAACTTGTAAATTTAGAACAGCAGCTTATAGAACAAAATTGGTGTACACTTATTAATAAGGTATTAACAGATGTTGTGAACAAAACTCCAGAAAATCTTGATTCTATTGAAAAAGTTTTGACTGCTCTTCAAACAATCTCCAACAACTGCAAACTATTTAATGAACAGGTTTTGTTTAACCTTAAAATTAAATATGAAAGTTTAACTAAACTAGATTCTAAAACTGATGACTTTTTTATGGATCTTTTTACTCTATGTTGTGATATTTTAAATGATAAAACAGTAAAGACTGAATTGTAATGAATAAAGTGTAAGTATGTAACTTTATGTGTAAATCATAGTGTGAGTAAAGTGCGTTGTTTTCCTTTACATTTCACTTCATGACCTACCAGCAGACCCCTAAAAATCTACAGTCCACTTATTATTCATCCATATAAAGTTCCCCACAATTAGGTTCATCAAAAATAGAAAAATCTCAGTCAAAATCAAGTAATTGTTATCTGAATCATATAATATGAATACAAGAGTGGCTCCTGTGTCTCATCGATTTATTCTTGGGATCACTTATATTTTTTCTACGTCCACATGGATACTAGTTATTTTACATACAGACTACAGAACGAAAAAATATGGTATTACGTTCAACTAAACGAATAAATTTTATATCCATATTACCTAGTGAGAACACGGCAAAAAAATGAGATCTACCAATCACAGTTCGTATTTTGGTCATCCAAGTACAATTTTAATTTTAAATAAGTGACAATTCTCTCAAACTAACTGTCAGTATCCTTTTTAATTATTGATATTAAATATACATTAAAATGAGTTATTATTGTGTAGAATCAATAAATAATAGCTTTCGAGCAGATGACCCAAGTTCAATTTTAGGATTGAAGACTAATTGAATTGAATTTTCTTTTTAATTTTTCAAGTTTATTTTATATAAATTAGTAAAAGTTATAAATTATTTTTATATTAGTCATTTAATTTTAATAACCTAAAATAATTTTTAAAATTTTTAGATTTTCGTAGAAAAAATGCGATATGGCCATCATATCCACTCTTGTTGTACAAATTACAAACTGCTATTGTTACTGATAAATTATGTACCTTGGTTTATAAGATCTAAAATAATTAATACTTTATACTGATAATACCTAACATATTAAATTACTTACTAAGAAAAATGTGATCTTTAATGAAAATAAATAGTTGTTTTTTGTTTTTATAGAACAATCAAACATTGTATTTATGTCTCTGCTTTTCATGTATTTTCTGCTGGTAAGATTATATCAAATAGATAATATGAATATTCCAGACTTTGTTCAAGTAAATTGTGTGTAACTTACAAACATGCCTCTATAACTAAGGAGAAACTTCACAAAGCCAACTGATTCAACAATTAGAGCGTCTTACATGTCCTAAACTATGACAGTGATAAATAAAGTATTATTCTCTACAAGGGTGGCTACAAGCAGAATTTTCTAAGGGCGCCATTTCAACAATTACTATAGATACACAGTTCGATATTCAAATTGAACGTGTTGGTACGACCAAAAAATATATTAATCGGTAATGTAAGGCTATACATTGTAATAACCAGCTTTCAAGTTCGTAGACTGACTACATATATCGCTTAATATGAACCTGGTCACAAGTAACTTCCAACTAATAAAAATACAAATATGTACAATTTTTTCAAAAGAAAAATAATTCATCAGTTAGTTGTATTATATTATAAGAACTTATATGAGCGGTTGTTGCATAGAACATGGCCTCGAGTTATATATGTATTAATTTTTGTGCGTCCCTGAGTGAGCGTGAGGGAGCGAGAGGTTTTCGCCAAAGCCTGTAGCTAAAAACAAATCCGTGAAATAAACAACGTGCCTGCTTAAAATCACATAAATTACGTTATTTAGTGCATCGCACATATTCAAGGAGTGACGTCACAAAGTAAAGCACGAAATACTAATCTTTCCAATCATTGAGTAATTCTACATAGAAGTATGGTAGATTCCTCACTGTAAAATATTACGATTTAAACCAACTTGCTTTAATAAAATGTTGCTAATAAGGAATATACAGGAATAAAAGTTAAATTTTAAGATTTCTTTTTTGCAATAACTTTAACGTTTTTGTATATGTATACATTAGGGTGGCCAAAAAAAGCGAATATTTTATTTTTTAAGTCTCCTATGAAAATATGTTAGTTTATCATGTTTTAAGAGCATCCTCCAAAGGACAGCTCAAAAAAAAATTTTAAATGGTCGCTCCGAATTTTTAAAAAATTCCAAAATCGTCGAAAACCTGATTTTTTTTTTGTTTTAATTGTTTTTTCTCATTATTTCATTTTTTTTTTCTATAAGAAAAATGATAAAGATCCTGAAAATTTCAAGTCGAAATTTTAATATTGAAAGGTCACTCCGAATTTTTCTAAGGTTCCAAGTCGAGTACTTTATATCTTTTCGAGCTACTTTTGAATATGAATATTAACGAACTTTATATATATTTTTTTTGTCATTATTCTTTTTTTTTCGTTTCTCGTGCTTCAATTTCATTCTTTAGTATGTAAGATTGAAGAAAAAATATATAAAGTTCGTTAATATTCATGTTCAAAAGTAGCTTGAAAAGATATAAACTACTCGACTTGGAACCTTAGAAAGTGTGACCTTTCAATATTAAAATTTTGACTTGAAATTTTCAGGATCTTTATGATTTTTCTTAAAGAAAAAAAGTGAAATAATGAGAACGGAAACTCTCTAGCAAGGATGGCACTCAACCTTAAAATTTTAAATGCAAAGGGGTCGAATGATATATTATTTTAAAGGTATTTTCACCCCCGAGTTTTACATTGCTACTATCTACATAGCCCATACAGTGGCTAACCAAAAGTACAAAACCGGTTTAACATAATCTTTATATTGTTGTAACAATTCTAGTTTTATTGTTATCAGATGACATTCTTTGGTCGCCGTAAAGTAAGATGTAGTTTATTTCGTTATAAAGTTGGCATAAAAGTGGCATATCAGTGATAATGGTTTACTCAATTGCTGAGAGGGTGCAAATAATTTCACTTTTTTTGCAAACAATGAATGTGCTAATAGAATTGCCCAACTGTTTAAAAATCAAAATCGACAAGTCAATCGCAAGTATAGTCCATAAATTTTGGGAAACAAGGTCAATAACTAACAAATAACGTGAAATGAAAAATGCTGTAGTAAATGGTACAGAGGTGGCGATTTTAGGGCATGTTGTTCAAGAACCCACATTGAGCACAAGAGAGTTGGCGGTAATATCTGGTATTAGGAGAAGTAGCATTCAGAAGATATTGAAAAACACCACAAGTATATCCCTAAAAAATACATGTGGTACAAGAACTTAACTAAGACGATTTTGATAGGCGATTACAATTTTGTGAAATTATGACTGAACGAGCAAAGACCTGAGCTGCCCAAAATTTGGCTCTGTATCGTTTTCAAATGGTCACTTTGTATATATACAACACTTCATTATGTGTATAATAATAAATCATCAAAAATCTTTTAAATTCATGATAGTTAATAAGTGTTTTATATTGTGTTTCTACTTATTCCATTGGTACTCTAGCACCGCAGCACCACTGAATACCAGTGATGGCTGCACCGAGCTTATAGGGTTGGCAGAGGCCAGATATCCCAATTTAGGTGGGAGCCTCAAGCATACCGATTGCTGATACTCTCGTCTTCTGTTTCAATCCTCAAAACTTTAGCAATTTGACATTGAACAATACCTTTTTTTTAAGATAATTTTCATAAAGTCAACGCTTTAAAATGGCTTTTAAAGTGCTTTTAAAAACCGGTGGTGACCCTAAATGTGTGGAGGGGGGGAAGGAGCTCCCATTTCCCGCATAGAGGCCGGGCACCCAAAGCAATTTTTGAGTTCCAGCGCCTATGTGTATGAGAAGTATTACGTTACCAAAATGGTTATATTAAATTTGTTGTTCCTGAAACTTTTAATAATAATTCAATGGCGGTTTTTATTTTTTGTATTTGAATTATTGATTTTACTCTCATTAGATTAAATGGATAAATTATTTAGAAAGTTAATTGTTTAATCAGTAATAAAATTGTTTGGTAGATTTGGCACCCAGAGCCGGGTTAGCCTGTTGTATTATTATAATATGTTGGATGTATTTGCAACACGTGTGAAATCGTGAATGTATGGCAGTGTTACTTGTTATTTTGAATCTTAGAAGCTTAAAAAAACGAAAAACACTAATGGTAATTTACAATTTCATTACAATTTATTTTATTTTATCATGTTACTTAATTTTTGTAGTATCTCCAATGCAAAAATATATCAGAAAATAGATTTTTATTATAATGATTGTTCACAATGCGAACGTTAAGTGTTTACTCCTCTCCCCTTTAACTTCTGTATAAATACATTTATATTGTAACGTAGTTGAATAAATTATATTAAATACCCATATAACCTTGATACATTTCATTTCAATTGAAAGACAGAAATAATATAGAAAAGAATTCTCAGAAAAACAAAACATTAAACTCACCTAATTTGATGAAACTCTCATCTCCAACAAGAAATTTTCTGAAACAAATAAAAAACTCATAACAGATATTTTTTAAAGGTAAATTCTTTATATATACCGAGTGACTATAAATTATTAAATTTTTTTGAACGGTTGGCAACGACTCAATCTCGTTAATTGATGCCGTAAATTGTAGATCTTTAATCAAATATTCCATAAATTATACCGGCTTTCAGTTTTTAAGTGCTAATCCCAGGAAATTTACGTGTTGAGTAGAGTCCATTTCGATTTAATTCCTACACAAATTGCTTCATAAGCCCCAACTTAAAATGCAAGGGCAGATATGATTTTCACTCTCGCAAACAAAAGCTTCGTTGATTACGTTTTGTGTTCCTGGAATTATGACATTTCTTAAAGTTATCAACTTTGTACTTCCTTCAAAGTTTATTTAGAAAATGTATTTTGTAAAACGCTATCGGCCTTAAACCATAATCAGTGCTTATCCACCGTAAAATTGTGACTGTGTTGATAAATTTGATAAAAAGTTACAGCTTAAAAAAGAATTATGAGTTAACTAAACTGATTAAGATAAAACATTTAACATGAGGAATTGCCATGGAGTTATAAGGTAGGGAAACGCTATAAGTATCTTTTTTAAACATTCAAAACGGTATTACTTGGCGTGGATGTTGTCAACCCAATATGGCCGATACGTCAGATACGGACTTTTCAGAATTAAACTCAAATCTACACTTTTTTTTAGAAAATGTAAGCA